AGATCCTAGTTGATGTGTGGCACAGCCAAAATAATAGGGAAAAAAAAAAAAAGACTGGTGGGAGCAGAGGAGTGTGGGGCTGGGTGTGGAGGAAGCACTGATCAGGTGCATCATAGGTGGGGTGGGGAAGGAAAATGTCTCCTTTCCGTCTAATGCATACTCAGCCCTAGGCTGCCAGAGATCCATTTTAACTGAATTTCACTTGCCCAGAAAGGGAGAGGAGACGCACAAAAAGTATGTATGTGCTTAGTCATGTCCTACTCTTTGTGACCCCATGGACTGTAGCCCACCAGGCTCCTCTGGCCATGGGATTCTCCAGGCAAGAATACTGGAGTGGGTTGCCATTTCCTCCTCCAGGGGATCTTCCCAACCCAGAGATTGAACCTGCGTCTCCTGTGTCTCCTGCATTGCAGCCAGTTCTTTACCCAGTGAGCCATCGGGGAAGCCACCAAAAGTTCAATAGAAGCTAAGTTTGTTATGGCTGCGACAAGTCCAGAATATTAATTTTTAGTGGCAGGTCGAACTTAGAAAGAGAGGAGACCGTAAAATAAAATGAAGTAAGAGAAATGAACATGAATATCAAAAAGCTAGTCCACAACTGCCAGTTAATTCCTGGTTTAATGTGTATAGTGCACATGTGCGCACGAACACACATAAAGAATCTCCCTCACACAGACTTACACACAAACTTCTTCTAAATCTACACTTCACTAATGCCCAGTTCTAATTCTAGCTGTGCCATAAGTCCTTTCCCCATGTATTTTTTTTTCCTGGACTACTTATTCTTGTCCCCAAGTTTCTAAAGTCAATGTAGCCCTAACACAAACTTCTCTTCTCCCCAGCTAAAATGAGAATTCTATTTGATTGTGGTTCTACACAATGTTTAGCACAGTTCTAGGCACACCATAGGTCATCAGGTCTTTAAGCCCACTGAAGTTCAAGGAAGGTGGCCCTAGCCATGTACAGTAGAACTGCCCTGCTTCTTGGAGCTTCAGCTCAAGGCTCCGCATTTGGACCATAATAATTAGAAACCTCTCATAGGATCGCCTTCAGGAATCAAATCCAATTTTAAACCCTTGGTGTTTTTCAAGGGTTGAGGAAATTAATTCTCTACTGCATTTTCTATTTAAAAATCTTGTAGGAGGACGTTGCCTGTCACATTACTCAAGGTCCCCTTATGTAAAGTCTCGAAGAGTTTTTTTTTTAATAAATTTGTGCCAGAAAAATCCCTCTTTTCTCTGAGTGTCTTTTTGGGAGGTGAGAAGAGTGTAATGCATGTTATCTCTGCATTTTGGAGACCCTCAAGCCTGACTAGGTTCCCCCTTCCCCCCTGGCAGTCAGAAAGCTCAGATACAGTCTAGACTTAGTCACATGCTTAGTTTTATATATCTTGACGTAGGTATTTTCCTTGTTCAGAGTTTCTTCACTTCTTTTTAGATTTTGTTCATTGCCATTTTGAAGCTATTTTTGGTAATAAAAAAAAATTTGTAGTCATTATGAATTTTGGAAAAGAAAAAGAAAAGTTTGCCTATGCTCTAATAATAACCCAGCCAGGGTAACGTCCATGAAGATTTAGGGAGATAGTACTTCCTCCTGTGTAATTAGAAATTACAGACTCAGAGAGTCTAGAAATAACAGTGGCTGAAACATGCAAGGGTGTATTTTCTCACAGAAAAGGAACCGAGATGGCAGTCTCGGTCTGACCCGGTGGCTCCGTGGAATCATCGGGGCCCGGGCCCCTGACCTTCTCCTCTGCTGTCCTCCCACTGTGACTGCTAGAGTGACCTCGTGGTCCCTTCATGCTCCGAGATGGCGTCGGAGCTGCAGCCCTCCTGCCTGCGTTCCAGGGAGGCAGGGAGGGAAGAGGGCAGAGCAGTTAATGCCCTGCCTTTTTAGGCGTCTCCCCAGAGAGCAGACCAGCCCCTTCAGAACAGGCCCACATTTAGTCACGTGGACTCCTACCTTCAACAGAGGCTGGGATCTGTAGTTGGTTTTTTCTAGCTAGGCACGTTTTCTAGGTTTCTGTTCTGAAGAAAGCAGAGACTTCTTCTGTTCTTTTTTCTTGCGGGCACTCCGCAGGGCATATGGGATCTTAGTTCCGTGACCAGGGATCAAACCTGTGTCCCCTGCTTTAGAAGCATGGAGTCTTAACCACTGGACTGACAGGGAAGTCCTGGGACTTCTTACTGGGAAGCACTCAGCAGTTAACTGCATTTCTGAATCTTTCTCTGTGCATGTGTATCCAGAATGCTCTTGAAGCTATCTCAAATAGTTTGTGGAAAGAGTAAAAGTGTAGGAGGCTTCCCTGGTGGTCCAAGGACCAAGACTCTGTGCTCCTGATGCAGGAGGCGCGGGTTCAATCCCTGTTAAGGGAACTATATCCCACATGCTACAACTAAGAGCTCACATGTCCCAACTAAGGGTTCTTTTGCCTTAACTAAAGATCCTACATTAAAAAAAAAAAAATCCCACATGCCACAACTAAGACCCAGCACAGCCAAATAAATAAATAAAAATAAAATACTAAACAATTAGTAGGAAGTTGATAGATGACTTCTAAAATTAAAAAAACAAAGAATAAAAGTATAAATAAACATCAGTGTAAATATCAATAAATAAAACATACTACATCTTGTAATTTGCCACCCTGCCTTTCCATAATTCTTTTGTATTAACTTATCACTTATACATATACTGATTGTGTATGTTTTGAATATTCAGTAAACATAGACTTATTCAGGGCTAGTAGGGACCTTGGCCTTCCCTGGTGGCTCAGTGGTAAAGAATCTGCCTGCCAGTGCAAGAAATGAGAGTTCAATCCCTGGATGAGGAAGATCCCCTGGAGAAAGAAATGGCAGCCTACTCCAGTATTCTTGCCTGGAGAATCCCATGGACAGAGGAGCCTGGTGAGGGCTACAGTCCTTAGCATCGCAAAGAACTGGACATGACTCAGCTACTAAACAACAACAAGTAGTCGGGAACTCAGATTTCCCCAAGGGTTGCACATCCGGATGCCTGTAGGGACCATTCAGGTACCATCAGTGATTAAGGAGGTCAGAGATCATTGTTGAGGACCATGTGGGGATGGTGGCCACTTGGAGAGAGCACAATCTGTCTGGAGGGTCAGCCCCGCTCAGCTCTGTTCATTGCTGTCATGTGAGGATGCTGGATCGGTTTCCCAAACCTTTGGATTTTTTTTTCTTCTCAAGAGAAACAAGAGATTCAGATTTTTATCTGCAATCTCCTGGTGTTTATAACTTAGCAGCTAATAAATTCAGTTTTTTTTTTTTTTTAAATGCCAACCAAATGCAATGCCATCCCATGGGTTGCCAGTTTAAGATCTCTGATCTGGCACATCCCTTGTTTTTTAGTGGACAGCCAAGCCCTGGAAAGGTCAGGTGGCTTGTGATGTGGCTGGAGACATGTTCCTTAGTACCCCGCCCCTGCCCCCCCAACAAAGCCTGGTTCTCTGTGTCTAATTTGTCAAGAATAGGAAAAAATAATAAAAATTTGAATTTGAGCAAGGCTACTCTGAAGGTTAATTGAATCTCCCCTCCAACTGGCTTTCATTTTCTTTTTAAATCATTTCGGTGTGATGGAATCAGAGAAAACTGGGCTTGAATCTCAGCTCTACTATGGTATAGCGTCATGATTTTGAGCAAGCTCTTGGCATCTCATTTGTGTCCTGTACCATCCACTTTCTTTTTTCTCTTTTTCTTACATTTCCTCTTTTCAAGTAGCACAGTGTGGTGGTTAAAAGCACATTCTTTGGAGCCTGCCATGTATCTTGCTTTCTCTACCTACTACCTGTGTGACCTTGGGCAAATCACTCAAGTTTTCTATGCCTCAGTTTCCTCATCTGTTGCTGTTCAGTCACTCAGTCGTGTCCGACTCTGTGACCTCATGAACTGTAGCATGCCAGGCTTTCCTGTCCTTCACCATCTCCCAGAGTTGACTCGAACTCATGTCCACTGAAAGCTGATGATGGCATCCAACCATCTCGTCCTCTGTCGTCCCCTTCTCCTCCCCCCTTCAGTCTTTCCCAGCATCAGGGTCTTTTCCAATGAGTCAGCTCTTCCCATCAGGTGGCCAAAGTATTGGAGCTTCAGCTTCAGCATCAGTTCTTCCAATGAATATTCAGGGTTGGTTTCCTTTAGGATTGACTGGTTTGATCTTGCTGTCCAAGGGACCCTCAAGAGTCTTCTCCTCATCTATAAAATGGAATAATAATAGTACCTACCTCAGAGATACTCTTAAAAGCATTTGGACGTGTTTTACATGAAATATAAGGGGAGCTTGGCACCTAGATGGTGCTGTCTCTCTCCCTCTCCCTTTCTCTGTTTTGTTTCCTCTGCTGCTTTGGAAGCCGTGGGTCTTTAACCCAGAGGGCCCAGCTCTGGTTCCCCATCTCATGGTGAGCGCTTTCAGCCCTTTATGGCCCAGCACAGTGAGCCTCCAGCCCACAGTATGGCCCAGATCTGGCAGGTGTTATGGCTCCCCACTCATTACTTTCAGTTCTGTTCCATTTCTGGAACTGTGTTTTTGAGCCCATCTGTGCCCTTTTACTTCTCTCAGCTCCTATTTTTTCTGTCGTTTCCGTATATTTGGAAGAGATGAAATAAGTCAGCTGCCTGCTATCTCGACCTAAACTTGGCTAAATTATTTCGTCAGTCACACAGAGATGATCCTTGTCGTTGTCGGGTATCTCTGAAAATGATGTTATGAGATAAGGACAAAAGCAGCGTGAGTTTACATTAGCCAGAGTTGTAAACGCAGCAGATAACTCGTTCTGGAAACCACAGAGCCCGCCAGTCTGTGGATTCACCAAGATTTCCCCCAGCAGGTCTGGCCAAGAGTGCGTCACATATGTTAATTAAAGAAATCATTTTTGTTTTTTTTTTTCCCAATGACTTTAAATGCAGAAAAACTTAGACTATGCTTATATTTCAGTTAAATTGCTTCTTTCTCAACCTTAAAACATCACTATCCAATCTTTTCAGCTTTTAGGTTAAATCGAATAAGAGATCTGACCTGACTGGCCCAGCTGTTCAACTCTTCTTCAAGATCAATTTGTATTCGCAGCAGAGAGGAACCGGTGACGTTGGTACATATTGGTGAGACTCTTATTTTTGCTTGTTCTCCCTACCTTCCCGACATTTGTAAGTGATGAGTGAAAGTGGGGGCGGGGGGACTTATTTTGTGTTTTTAATTCAATGTGTCTACTCTAGATCAGCCAGAAAACTGGTCAAGTCACCCTGTACCGCCGTCTCCTCTCCTTGCAGTTAAGAGGACAAGGATGATGTCTATTTCAGTTTCATATCACCAGTATCATGCCAGAAAACCTGGAATCCTACTAGGTTTTGGTTTCAGCCCTCCACTCAGTACACTTAGAAGTCTCTATGAAAATTAAGACAACACTATTTCAATCAACTATACTTCAGTAAATAGCAAGCTGTGTCATCTTGGATATTTGTTTCGAGTTGGTTTGACTGGCAGGTGGCAGGGTTTTGGAGATATGAGGGACAAGGACACAGGTGGGACCACTGGAGCATCTTTGAGTGTGGTGCTGTATGCTTGTTTAGGTCACAGGCCCCCTGGAGAATCTGATCAAATCTGCAAGCCCTCTTCCCAGAAAACTGTACAAACACACACACTTTCACACATAATTTCAGGAAGTTCCCAGAAACCCATAGGGGACCTACAGACCCCAAGTTAAAAGAATCCTTGTTTTGAAGGTTTGGGGAACAGCCTTTGAGAGACATAACCCCAGAAGTTAAGTTTTAAGGAAACCGTCAGCTCATAAACGGTCAAAGGTTGATGCAGCTGAAAAGTATATTCTGAGGTCCAGCCTTGATTCTAAACCATGCCAGATAAATTTCAAAAAATTATTTTCTTGCCCTGATGGTGAGTTAAGGAACTGGCTTCCTTTTTTTTTTTTTAATTGGACTATAGTTGATTTACAGCGTTGTGTTCATTTCCAGTGTATAGCAAAGTGATTCCATTATACGTATACATGCATTCGTTCTTTTTTAGATTCTTTTCTCATACAGGTTGTCCCAGAATGTTGAGTCGTGTTCCCTGTGCTATACAGTGGGTCCTTGTTGGTTGTCTTATATATAGTAGTGTGTGTGTGTGTGTGTTTATCCTGAGTTTCTGATTTATCCCTCCCCCGCTCACGTTTCCCCTTTACTGTCAGTTTGTTTTCATTATCTGTAAGTCTGCTTCTGCCTTGTAAATAAGTTTATCTGATTCTTTTTTAAAATTAGATCCCACATATGAGTGATATCATAGGGTATTTGTGGGATCTTTGATTGCCTTTCCTCACTCAGTTGGAACCCCTGCCAGAGATGGTCTGCCTTGTATTTGCCCTGGGTCCTGTATTTGCCACAATCGCCTCGATTTTAGCAAAGGGCTTCCAAGACCTCTCTGGCCTGACCGTGGGTCTCAGATGAGTTCGTTTGGTTCTGCCTCTTTTCTCTGTACCGCTGGCCACTGGGGTTGTCATGCTGTTTTCAGCAGAGGCTACTTGAAACCATTCCAGGGGAAGCTGTTGCCATAGCGACCTTCACTGCCAGGAGTTACCATTTTCTTCTTTTTGTTAGCTTGTGGTTTCCCTGATTTTGAAGGTAACAGCTGATGTTCTGATTTCCTGCAGTGCAGGGAGGAAAAGATTGGATTTTTGTTATTGTTGTTGATGTTTATTTTTTTTTAAGTTTGGAGTGATGTATGTGAGTGTGTGTGTGTTTTGTGTACAAGATAAAGCTACCTGAAAAGATGAAAAACTAGATATGCATGTATATTTTCCATACTCCAGTTTTTAATTTTGGTCTAGCAGTTGAATGGTGGTCCACTTTTAGCCCAATTTTGGAGACTAATGACTGTGGGCAGTTGCCTTCAGTGGGGGCGGAAAGTGACCGAGTTCCATTTCACACCACCTGCGACTCCCAGGAGTAAAGACCTCTGGGAGCTGGGCTTAGTCTGAATTTGACTCCAGCGCCAGGACTGCCTCCAAGGGAGCAGGTGGCTGAATCAGGCTCTTCCTGCTCTGAAAACAAAGGTGGGGCCCACAGGCATGACAGCCACACCTGGTGGCCGCAGCAGGCCCATCTCACGTGTCTGTCCGAGGCTGTAAACACGAAACCTGATGCGCAGCCGTGCGCCAGGTGCAGGTGAAGCCTGAGGAGAGTCAAGGCTGCCTGGTTACAGAAATCAAAGCTAGTCTCCTGGTCCCGCTTGTACCTTTCCAGCTGGACTTCTTTCTCCTGCTCTCATCAGGTTTTATTGATTTCTTTTTTAAACTTTTGGTCCTGCCACACTGCATGTGGGATCTTAGCTCCTAGACCAGGGGGGTCGGACCTGCACTGCGACCAGCACTGCGTGTTGCGACCCCATGGACTGTTGGAAGGTGGATTCTTAACCATTGGACCACCAGGGAAGTCCTCTCCTGCTCTCAGCAGGACGCTATTCTCAGCATTTTCCAGTTTGCTCGTCTTAGAAATAAATGTTCATTTGTTTTTGTTCAGTTGCTAAGTTGTGTCTGACTCTTTGAGACCCCATGGACTGCAGCACCCAGGCTTCCCTGTCCTTCACTATCTCCCAGAGTTTGCTCAAACTCATGTCCATTGAGTCTGTGACACCATCCAACTGTTTCATCCTCTGTCACCCGCTTCTCTTCCTGCCCTCAATCTTTCCCAGCATCAGGGTCTTTTCCAGTGAGTCAGCTGTTCACATCAGGTGTCCAAAGGATTGGAGCTTCATCTTCAGCATCAGTCCTTCCAATGAACATGCAGGGTTGCCTTCCTTTAGGACTGACTGCTTTGATTTCCTTGTAGTCCACGGGACCCTGAAGAGTCTTCTTCAGCAGCACCACAGTTTGAAAGCCAACACCCAGCCTAGTTTGTCAATGCTCAGGATTTTCGTGACCTGGGTTGCTGTCAGTTCGTAGGCAGCTGTAAGGGCACTAATAGGCATCAGTCAGGGTGGGTTCTGTGGGCCCTTCTGGATCGTCCCCGTCCCCCACTGGTTTTGTCTCTGTGTGGTGGGCTCTTCTACATGCTTCTAAACATGCTTGTAAACCTACCTGTACTCCTGCCCCCCAGATCAAGATGAATGCCATGATGGAGACCTCCGAGCTCCCGGCCGTGTTTGACGGGGTGAAGCTGGCCGCGGTGGCTGCCGTGCTGTACGTGATCGTCCGCTGTTTGAACCTGAAGAGCCCCACAGCTCCACCTGACCTCTACTTCCAGGACTCCGGGCTCTCGCGCTTCCTGCTCAAGTCCTGTCCTCTCCTGACCAAAGAGTGAGTAGACCTCAAACCCACCTGCACACCGGCCTGCTGATCTGTCTGTCTTTACACTGTTCAAAGAAGAACCTTCTCAGCATGGGTCCTCAAGGCATCTATGTAAAATAGTGTCACTGGTGTTAAAATAGCCACCATCTCTGTAGGAGTCTGGCGCTTAAATCCCGGCGGGTAGGGGACGGACTCAGATCTTTGTTGCCTGAAGTCATCCCTCCCTCCACAGTGTGGTGTCATCATCCATGTCAAGGACTTTGCAGAAAATTGTTGTCGTTTCTAGGTAGATGCAGAAAACTTGGACGGTATTCTGTGTGTGTGTGCGGACTCAGTCATATCCGACTCTGTGTGACCCCATGGACTGTAGCCCACTAGGGTCCTCTGTCTGTGGAATTTTCCAGGCAAGAATACTGGAGTGTGTTGCCCCTTCCTTCTCCAGGGGATCTTCCCAACCCAGAGATTGAACTCGGGTCTCCTGCATTTCAGGCCGATTCTTTACCACCTGAGGCAAGTTCTAAGAGGGAACTCTTCCTGACCCCAAATAATTAATGAGCAAGAAAAAGCATAGGTTTGTGGGTACCCTTGGTCTGCCCTATTGAAAAATATACATTAGCTAAGAGAATCCACTCTTAAGAGAAGGTTGCCATTCCAAGTGAACCAGATTTCCCTGAAGAAGCCCCAGCTCTGTGTTTTGGAGGTGGCAGGGGTGAGCACAGCTTCTGATAGAAGTAAAACAGTAGTTGTGAAAGAGACGGAATCTGTGTTCCACACCACACATGCTGTTTCCAGGAGATGCATTTGGCAGGATCTTCATTGTGGCACGTGGGATCTAGTTCCCTGACCAGGAATCGAACCTGTGCCCTCTGTATTGGGAGCACGGAGTCTTAGCCACTGGACCACCAGGGAAGTCCCTGAATGGTTCTCTTCGAAGAGCAGATGGGCAGCAGAGACACCTGAGAGTCTGGGCTCTTGCTTTGTCCTCTTTGGTTGTCTAGTTCATTTCCACAGCCAAGGGTAAAGAGCTGTGGGCTATGGGTATTTTGGGTGTCTGTGTACAGTTTGCTGTAGTTGTAACGATAATACCGTGACCCTAAAAAGTTGTTATCAAGTTGAAAGAGACTTGTAGCTCAGTTATATTGCCTAATACCTGTGAACTGCCAGGTACAATATAAATGTCATTGCGGTGAACTTGGACCCACCCCTGCTGAGGGCATTCTACGTCACAGTGGGCTCCTCATCTATGATCAAGGGCGTGGTGTTCTTAGCAAGCAGTGTTTGCCGTGGAAACTCTCCTCTCTGAGGAGTGTGCACAGCATTGGTGTGTTTTCAAAATCATCCAGCGTTTTTCTTCCATGTTTAATTTAGATAATTCACTCATCTGAACTGGCAAGGAACATTTGCACCCCTTACTTTCAGATGGGGTGGGATGCAGCTCGATCCAGTTCCTGGGTCTCTCTTTGTAGAGAGCTTTTGAAAAACCAAGGTGTTAAAAGCCCTACGAGATTATAGGCAAATGAGTACAAATTTCCACCTGTCATCAGTTCCTGAGTAATTAAAGGAAGCCCTGGGAAAGCTTCTTCTCTCTAGGCTCTTTGGAAAACATTATGTAAGGTTTCAGTCAGTCGCTCAGTCGTGTCTGATGCTTTTGTGACCCCATGGACTGTAGCCTGCCAGGCTCCTCTGTCCATGAGGCAGGAACACTGGAGTGGGTAGCCATTTCCTACTCCAGGGGATCTTCTTGACCCAGGGACCAAACCCGAATCTCTTGAGTCTCCTAGGTTTGATTTCACACTAATTGTTCAAAGCGTTAAAGAAAAAAAAAACTGATTTTTGGCAGGGTTTTTCCTAACCTGGTTTCTTGGTTTCCTTTGAAAAACAGCCTGGAGACATAAGTCCAACAGTTGCTCTTTGCTTTTTCTTCTTCCTGCACACTTTCTTGATGAACCTATGGAACTTCAAGGTTGGATTTGTTTTCCTCTCATTTTAAGGATGGGGAGACGAGGAGTAGCAGACGGGGAGCCTGGACCCAAGTCTGTGACCCCAGAGCTGGCTCCTTTCCTGTCTACAGGGAGGGGGAACAGTGACCTTTCTCGGGGTGCAGGCAAGGGACGGGAGGCAGAGAGCAGTAAGGGGCCAGTCTGAGACAAAAGTCTTTAGCTGGGCTAGCCCTGGAGTGGCCTTCCAATTCCTGCATGACCCTCTTACTATTTAATCACTGTCGGAAGCTGGTGGCCTTGATGTTTTTTTCTGTGTGGCCTTTCTGGCAACAGCCTTCCGTGTATTTGAAGCTAAGCTCAGGAAGCTTATCTGTTATGGGTAAAAGTACTTCTCCCGGGACTTTGAAGATTTTTTTTCCTACAGGAAGCCCATCCACAGCCTTCACAAACAACTGTCTCGGCTAAAAATTTCACTTAACTGATTTAAAACAAGCTGATGGGGTTATTCAGTAACCCTGACGGAAAGCAGCCAGTTAATTATGACTTACGTGAGGAATCACAGACATAGCCTTTTGATGTTATGGTGTAGGAAAAAAAAAGTCGGTGAAAGGTGAATAGTGAAAACATGTTAGGAAAACAGGGATTTTTTTTTCCTCTCTTTTCAGCATTAAAGTCAGTTTTTAAGTCTGTCTTGAGATCACCTACCCAAAGATACATCAGAAATGAATCTTTCAATGTCTCGAAGGAAACTTTTCTAAGGTGAGGTGATACGTCTCTTATTCACTTAGCAACAGGTCAATATTTACCTAGTGATTCAATTTTTGTTCTCAAAAAGTGTTCAATTTCAGTGAAAGAGGCAGACTGAAAAGCTCGAATCAGGATTATGAGAAAATTTAGATGGTGATACAGATCTCCATTTTTTTCTCGAATAAAAAATTTAATGCAGCTCTTTTTTTTTTTTTAAACGGAGAAAAAGGTGAAACACAAAAATCATCTGTGAGTCTCCTCCTTGGGGATACACATCACTACTACGTTGGTCATCACGCCTGCAGGGTTTTTGCTGCTGCAGATCATTTCCCCCAACAAAATCAGGGACATATGTAGCATTTGGTAACCTGCTTTAACACTTAGCATACCATGGGGACTTGGCAATCCGGTGGTTAAGAATCTACCCTTCCAACACAGGAGCCAAGGGTTCGATCCCTGGCAGGAGAACTTCAATTCCATAGGCTGCATTGTATGGCCAAAAAATTTAAAAACAAACAAAAAACAAAACAGTATGCCAGTTTTTATCCACACTGCTACCTATCTTCTAACATTTGATTTTTAGTGGCTTCAGAATTCTGTCAACTACTCAAATTTCCTAATGGCTGTTGGCAGCAGTGGTGCAGAGAAAAAGCCTTGATCTGAAATGTGCATTAGGACGCAAACTGAGGTCTTCGTCTAAACAAGCTGTGGACCCGTGGACCATGTGACAGGCCCTCTCTCTGGTCCTTGGTTTCCTTGTGTGTGAAATGAAGCAGTCTTACAAAGCTCCTTCTCATCATGAAGCTATGACCAGAAAGTACTATCCAAGAAAGCATCAATTTTTTTTTATTTATACATGTGGCACACACTACATAGACTTCTAATGCCCCAGCTTTTTGTTAGGGTAAATAACTCAATGACTAGAAGTCACAGAGGGTATGAAGAGATGAACATTCTAGAGTTCTGCTTTACATATATCTCTAGTTTTAAGCTGTGAAGAAAAGGCTGAATGTTTCTGATGGTAGTTCTTTAATTGTAATGCATGAGAAAAAACAGGGCCTATTGACCCCATCATTCTAGCTGTGTTTCCTACCCCTTCTCCCATCCTAACTCAGAATGAAGCATCCCAGTGTGGCTTGGAAAAAGAGTTGTGCTATGGACTGAATTGTGTCCCCCAAAAATTCATATATTGAGGACCTAACTCCTTATATAATGATATTTGGAGATGGGGTCTCTAGGAGATTACATGGTCTAGATAAGTTCATGTGGGTGGGACCCTTATGATAGGATTAGGGCCCTTATAAGAGAGGAAGAGCACCAGAGCTCTGTCTGTACCATATACAGACACAGCAAGAAGGTGGCCTTCTACAAGCCAGGAAAGGTGCTCTCACCAGGAATCAAATTGGCTGACACCTTGATCCTGGTCTTTCACCATCTAAAATTATGAGAAATAATTTCTGTTAGTTAGGCCAAAAAGATAAATTAAGTAAAAATAAATGAATAAAATGAAACAGGCCATTCTCCTGTGGCACCCTTTCAGCACTAACATCCTCTGAGTCTAGGATCACTGCATCGTCACCAAGCTTTGAAAAAGTTTCTTAGAAGGACCCTGGGTTGGGAGCCCTAGCTACCAGATAAGGACAGGAACCCAAAGAGAAGGGTTTTCTTGTGTATCTGCCCACTCCTAACCATTCTTATTCCCTTTGCTCTAGGACAAGGGGACCCTGGACCCCTTGGACTTTTGTTTTTTTAAGGACTTTGTTGAGCTATCATTTACATATAGTAAAATACACAAACCCTAAGTATATAGCTCAGGGCCTTTCGCATATATATTCACGTGTGTAACTGCCACTCCCTTGTGCTTTACAGGAATGTCCCAAGTCACCTCCTTGCCTCTGACCCACCTTGTCACTATACCACTTGAGTTAGGTTCTTTAAGCAGGCCAGCACCCAGAGTGCAACACTGGGACCCTAGCCAACCCAGCCTCACCACCCATGGCATTTCCCATTGCCCATTAAGTGCCTGCCCCTTAGGCACTCATCCCTGGATCCCCCAAATCTCTTCTTTCTCTCCACCAAGATACCTCGTTACCCTGCGAGAAAAACTTAACTAGCATGACTTCCCTGGTTGTCCAGTGGCTAAGACTCTGAGCTTCAAATTCAGGGGGCCAAATTCCCTGTTTGGGGAACTAGATCCCACACACTGCAACTAAGAACTGATGCAGCCAAATAAATATGTTTTCTTTTTTAAGTATGTCATAAAAAAAGAAAAAACTTAAATAGCTTCTATTTTGAGAAACTTTGCCTGACTATCCCCAGCTC